GGGCCCTCAATTGCAGTCCTTTGTGGTGGTAGCTACCTAAGAGTGCCGAATGCGAGTGCGGAGATGCGGCGGAGGTGTGCTGGGATGTGCAACGGGCGAAGATGAAGATCTCAAGGTACAACGGGGCGCAATGACGGTGATATGTCGCGGGAAATTAAGAGGAAACTATATGCAAGGGAATAGGAAGAGCGGTACGGATGCAGGGAAGAAGCAGTTATCCATGGCCAGCGCATGTCAGAAAGGTGGTGGCGGGCGCGGTAAAGGTGGCTGGGTGGTTGACTGCAAGATCTTGGACTGGACAGGCATCCTCCACACGGCTCGCACACCCACGCCAGGGCAGGTGCGGCCACTAGGGCCACAAGGGGAAGGCGCCCTCGGGGGTCCATGGTTGGCAAGGGAAGAAGCCACGGTCGGCTCGCGGGAAGTCAAACATCAACGTTTCACACATCTCGCAGACTGGACCAAAGTGGCTGCAGGCGACTTCTTCATCTTCCTCTTTCTTCACTGCTGTTGCATTGTTCCCTCCCCAGCGCACATCACCCGCCGCGCGCATACCGACTCGTCCACTCTAATACCCCGTCGTCGTAATCAGTCTCCTTCCTCAATAAGCTGAATACACCGGCCCTGTCAACTCGCCGAACCACAGTATCCTCACCATCCACCTACACTTCCCCCACCACGCGGGGAGACGGTCGCCTATTGCCAGGGCACCTCCTACGACTGTTCACGATACATGACCGCAGCCGGCTGCACGTAATATCCTTTAGGCGTCTTCGCCATGCGCATTCAGCTCTGGAGCCTGCTCGCAGCGGCGACACTTGCTGCAGCGGGAAAGCATCTGCCACCCCGCAACTACTCGAGCCACGACTATTATGCTATTCATCTTTCCCCATCCGCATCGCCATCAGACATCGCTGCGCACCTGGGCCTGACGTACGAGGGCCCATTCGGGACGCTTGAAGATCACCATGTCTTCAAGGCCCCCAAACACGAAAACGATATCGTCGACGACGCACAACAAGAACTGAAGAGGAGGCGGCGGAAACGAGAAGTTGGCCTCGAGTATCATCCTCTCGACAGCGTCCACTTTACTCAGAAGCAGAAGATCAAGCCGCGCCATTGGAAGCGCAGCGTGATACCAGATCGGCCAGAGAGAGCCGCCCCGCCGGTAACACCTGCTATTCAAGCCCAGCGGGAAGTCGCGACCAAGCTGCAAATCAAGGACCCCATCTTCGAAGAGCAATGGCACATCTTCAACGTGAAGACGCCTGGTAATGACATAAACGTTACTGGTGTGTGGATGCAGGGCATCACAGGCGAAGGCGTCACGGCATGCGTTGTTGACGATGGTCTCGACTACACCAGCAACGACCTCAAGGACAATTTCTTTGCTGAAGGCTCTCACGATTACAACGACCACGAAGACCTACCCACCCCGAAGCTTTCTGACGACCGACACGGTACACGATGCGCCGGAGAAATTGCCGCAGGAAGGAACGACGCCTGTGGTGTCGGACTTGCCTATGATGCCAAGATCTCAGGTGTGCGCATCCTCTCGGGAGATATCACAGATCTCGACGAGGCGCTCGCGATAAACTATGAGATGCAAAAGAATGACATCTACTCATGCTCTTGGGGTCCTCCCGATGATGGTAAGACCATGCAGGCTCCAGGCATTCTCATCGAAAAGGCCATGGTCACTGCTGTCCAGCAAGGTCGTGGCGGAAAGGGATCCATCTATGTTTTTGCGGCAGGCAATGGCGCTGCAAGCGACGACAACTGCAACTTTGACGGCTATACAAACAGTATCTACAGCATCACCGTCGGCGCTATCGACCAAAACAACGGACACCCGTACTATTCCGAGGCCTGTTCCGCACAGCTGGTTGTGACATACAGCAGTGGCGGCGGCGATGCCATTCACACAACAGATGTTGGCGCGAACAAGTGCACCAACCAGCACGGAGGCACGTCGGCTGCCGGACCTATCGGTGTAGGAGTATTCGCTCTCGCGCTTCAGGCCCGACCTGAATTGACATGGCGCGACATGCAATGGCTTGCTGTCATGACAGCTGTTCCCTTTGATACGCCCAGCGACTGGACCAAGACCTCGCTCGACCGCATGTACAGCCATCAATTTGGATACGGAAAGCTCGATGCCTATGCAATCGTCGAGAAGGCGAAAGAATGGGAGCTCGTCAAGCCCCAGGCTTGGTTCTACTCCCCTTGGATGCATGTGAAGAAGGCGATCCCCGAAGGCAACCAAGGCCTCGCCAGTGTCTTCGAAGTCAAGGAAGAGATGCTCAAGAATGCCAATTTTGCTCGTGTTGAGCACATCACTCTCACCATGAACGTGGAGCACACGCGCCGCGGCGACCTCGCTGTCGAGCTCCGATCTCCAAGCGGCATGGTCTCACATCTCTCCACCGCACGCCAAGGCGACGAGGCGCCTTATGGATATATTGACTGGACGTTCATGTCCGTTGCTCACTGGGGTGAAGACGCCATCGGCAACTGGACCGTCATTGTCAAAGATGTCAAATCCGGTAATGCTAAGACTGGTACCTTTACCGACTGGAAGCTCCGTCTCTGGGGTGAATGCATCGACGCCTCCAAAGCTAAACTTCGTCCGATCCCCGACGAACATGAGGACGACGATCACGACAAGATTGATGATCACCCGGCGCATACTACCAGTGTTACCATGCCCCCTGGTACCACACCTACTATGACATCTATCCCCGATGACCACCCCGATCGTCCCGTGAACCAGAAACCCTCTCAAACGTCGGCTAACAGTGGTGTACAGACGACGGCTTCGGCAACTGCAAGCGCAAGTGCCACGGCGTCTGCTGCTCCATCTGAAAACTTCCTTCCCAACCCCTTTCCCTCCTTTGGTGTGTCGAAGCGCACGCAAATCTGGATTTACGGTGCTCTTGCCTTGATCATCGTTTTCGTTGCTGGTCTTTGTACCTACTTTTTCATCGCTAGACGCAAACGCATGAAGGATTCGCGCGATGCTTACGAATTCGAGGTTCTGGATGACAACGAGGATAGGGACGACGCGGGCTTGCTCTCTGGTGCTGCCGGCAGGAAGAAGCGCGCTAAGAGGGGCGGAGAGTTGTATGATGCTTTTGCTGGCGAGTCTGATGAGGATCTACTGAGTGACGATGAGGGCGATGAGGGCCCATATCGGGATCAGGATAGGTATAACGAGAAGTATGCGCAGGATGATGGAAGCGAAGACGATGGTAGTGGCAGTGGAGCGAGCTCAGCGGGCAAGAGACAGTAGGAGCTTCTTCGTCTCTAGCGTCTGGCTTTTTGTGTACATTGGTATATGCGAATTAGATCATTGGGCGGCGTCTATTTTTGCTTAAGAAACGCGTTTCCTGACCTTTGCTTCAGTGAAGCCCACCAAAGTATATGCGCAAGGAAGCTGGTTGCCATCAGACCAAGATAGATTATGAGAAATTGGGGGTATCATATTCGCGCGCATAACTTTTCCCAAACTTGTAGAATCTAAGCAACCTTCCTTCCTACATTGCCGACTCCTCTTCCTACAACGCTGACAACGATTTCTTCTTTCTCGCCACCTGCCTCCCTGAAGCCCCATGCACTGCCTCCAAAGACCTTGGAATCCCGCGCAAGTTGTATGATTTCCTCGCTGCCTAGAATGTCCTTGCCCAGCGCTATTCTTCCTACATCCTCGCTACCCATAGCCATCAGCATGAGAACTGTGGGTGCTGCTACGTTCTCCACACAGCCTCCTTGTGATATCTTCTCGAGAAGCTGGTATGCGCATTGCTTGCCGATTTCGTCTGCCGGAACACCACCATCAGGTGGTGAGCATACGTCGGCTGAGTATATGCATCCCGTGCTGGTCTCTGCGACTAGACTGATTCCAAATCCCACTGCGCCCTTTACTTTTCCGCTGGAGTGGCCTTTGGCGGTTGTTGGTATTAAAGGTGCGGCGCTTGCGTCAGAGAAGATGTACGTATCCGGCACAAATTTGTTGAGGATGCCTCTTGCAGTAAAGGTCATGCGCTCGTTGTTACTTTTAGGGACCTCGACACAGTACGCCACGCCTCTTATCTTCTTGACCCTTCCAGGATTCAGCAGATGTAGTGTCTTTGGTAGACGAACCTGGTGGTTAAACACCAGTTGCACTTCACCGCCTGCTCCCTTTCCTCCCGCAGGCGCAGAAGAGCGCTTGAGGATACGTAGCTCGATATTCCGCTCGATAGCAAAGTTTTTGTACAGCGGGAGAATAGCCGTGCGAACTGTGTCTGCAGAGATGTCGCCGGCGATTGTAGACGCTGTAACACAGCCCTCGCCGTAGAAGACGACGTTCATGTTCCCCTTGCTGAAGGGCGCAAGAACGCATAGGGGAACCAGCCACCAGCTCACACCCCTCTTTCTACACTCTGCTGGTATCTCATGCCGGATTACGCCTCCGCTAGCTCCCAGTCCTTCGGCGCTTCCGGTGATGAGACCGGGTCTGTAGACTAATGTCGTACCCGTCATGCTGAACTGGATCTGCGAGCCGTTCGTCACCGAATCGAGCAGTCGGATGAAGTTTGTCTCATGGCGTGTTAAGCCTGGTGTGGTTGACGAAGAGCGAATTTGCGATATGCGAACGGGTCGGCCGGTGAGTGTCGCCAAGAGAAGGCGAGAGATCATGTGCCGATGACCGGTGAAGTTCAAGGGCTGTTGCAGCGCTTCGTCGAGAGCCATCGTGAGGGTGCGTTGGGGTTTTCGTGGTGTTTGAGAGAGTTTGCGACAGTGTTAGATTGCACATGGAACTTTTTTTGGCGGAGCTCGGGCGGTATCGATAAGATTAGCGCGAACGCGGTGTTCGCGTCGTCCGGCGCGTTGCATGATCTCGAGGTCGAGTCCACCCCGGCAAGAGATACTGCTTTCACGTGCGGCAACTTTGTCTTGTACTTCGACAACGTCTTACGACTTGTCCTTTGTTTGGAGTACGTCATCAATGCGCGGCAATGCCAATTCTGAGTAGGCAGACGCCTAAACTGTTAACCAATATCGGCGGAAAGCGCCATGCGAGCGCAGACGATCACGAAGAACCGTTACCCAAGAGACGAGCGAACGAAAATGCCGCTCCAATAAAGAGGCAACGGGAGGTTGATGTCAACGCTGAACCCTTGTCTTCCGACGATGAAATACACGCTCCCTCACCACGACCGGTCCAGCCCTCGAAGCCTGGTAAACCTACGCCGAAGAGCACGCTAGATACTCTAAGGGGACCTCAAAAAAAGCCTGGCAAGAAAACGCTTGAAACAATACGTCCGCCCGCGAGAGGGGCGTACCAGAATGGTCAAGCCCATAAGTCGACTGCAGGCCTCGACGATAGCAAGGAACACACTCCCGCGTCTTCCGCGGGATCATCCAGCGACAGTCCAATCAAATGGGGTATGGAACACGTCTCTCAAAAGAAGAACACGAATGGCAAAGGCTATGGCTCGAAGAGCAAGAACATACATGCACCACCTCCAAAGAAGTTTGGCAAGGCAGCGTCAAAGACCACTACGCAGACGTACGGATCAAAGAACAAATCCCGGAATGGCATGTCGCAAGCCGGTGCTGAGAGTGACGGAAGTGTATCTGGTTTAGACGACGACGAGCTCTTTGCGCTCCCCAAAGATAGTGACAGACAACAAAAGATGAATGATTTAGGACTACGTGAAGTTGAAAAGAAAGCAAACGGTACAAAAGCCAAGAGCACCAATGCTACATCTACTGCATTCGACGACGACGAACTGGACAGAGAACTAGGGACCAAACCAAAGAGCCCTAAGTCGCTTAAAGCAGAAAAGGCCGCCAGAACCGCCCGCCTCATGAACCAGCTTAGCAGTTGGAAGGAAAATCAGGAACCGCCGTCTTCGCAACCACATTCCAGTGCACCACAAGAAGCCCTCGACGACATCAACAGTTACATGAGCAAACTCCAGCCAGTGGAAGAGGAGGGCTCGCGATGCCTGCTATGTTCGAAGTCCGTAGAGCAAGAGGACTATTGGGACTTCTGGAAAGGCAAAGAGAGAACAGTCAAGAACAAATCTGCATTCTGCCATGCGCATAAGAAGAAGTCAGCACAGAAGGAATACACTGAGATGGGATATCCGGACATTGACTGGAAAGCACTTCCCAGGCGAATACGCAGGCACAAGACGACTCTATCGCAGATACTCAACAACAACGAGTTTAGTGTACACAGAGGTCGTTACGAGCCGTTGGCTCTGACTGGAAAAGCCGCCGCTGTACCCTCGAGGCGAACAGATCTTGCAGAAGACGTGCAAGAAGAGCTGGAATCATACGCTCTCGACGAGAAAGCCGCTTACCCGGGCTACTATGGTTCTCATGGTCGTCGCGTCATCACAGAGAGCGTCATGGATACTCTAAAGGTCGAGATGAAGAACTGCAAGGATCGCGTTGTGCAAGCATCCGGCATCGCAGCCTTTGTACAAGCTGTGATGGTTCCGGAGGCGGCAATCCTACTGATTATGGATGATTGTTCAGTGAACAGAGAAGAGGCGGATAAGATCAGGGAGAAGACGTACGATATGGGTCTCCTTCTCAACGAGGAAATTGAGGACGAGCTCGAAAGACAGGACGACAGTGATGATGAAAACGAGTATCAGTACAAGTGATGAGAAGTGGAGATTTAGAGCCCCGCCAGGTTTGTCACAAGCGCTGTTTCTTTCTGCGCTTTGCATGACGCGTTGCATTTTTCGTTGGCTTCGGCCACATATTGCTGCGTATTCTGATACCCAAATATTATTCCGAGGCCATTGTATTGCTTATGATTCATTCTGCTGCACCCTGGCACGCTTTCATACCCTTACGGTGGATATTTCTGCTCTACACTCTACAGCACCAAGCGACCATCATCTTTCTTCACTCGTAAGTAGTACTTGTCGACCCCCATCTTCTCACTAACTCGCGTCCTCGGTGGCTCTGATTGTAGTCTCCACAATCGCTTTACGAGTACCTCGCCAGTGAGCCTAAGATTTCAAAATCCTATATGCATGCATGCAAGTATTCTGCTACATTTCTTGTACGTCTCTTACTGATATTGGATGATCCGATATTGAAACTATGAAGATCACCGTAGCTGAAGAAAGAAATGCGAGTGAATAGAGATATTTATACATGCATAGCGACTGCTTTCAAAGTGACATGCGACGGGTATATTTCATTTCGACTCACCAGCCGCTTTCATGAGCATATCTCCAATATGCTCTCCCTATATGCCTTCACAGCTTCCAATTTGCGCCGTTTCCTTTTTGACTCCAAAGTATGCTATACAATCCATCATCTACCCATCAAGCACTCCACTCTCCTTGAGAGAACGGAATAGCTCCGGCTCCAGGAACTTGCTAATTGTGACATCCTCCGCAAGACCCTTCCTCCTTCGTGTCTTGAGTACGAAATCGCGTGCCAGCTGTTGTGCGGTTGCGGGTTCAAGCGGTCGGGTCGTAATGTCTTTATCAAGAGGGTCGCCAGGGACGATGGACCAGCGGTCGAAGACGAGGGAGAGAGAGACTTGTCCTTGTGTGTGAATCTACATAAGTTAGCATATGCTATGAAATCTGGCAGTGAGAATAGAAGGTGTGTACGTACCCTAAGATCGGTCTCGAAACCGAAAGAATCAATGACCGGGATAAGACCGCGAACATTGTAGAGAGGAGTACCCGCAATGGGTCCATCCTGCAAGACGTGTCCTCTCCTCCGCGCAAGGACTGTGTACAAACTACTCTTGGTGTCTGCAGGACCAGTCATGCTGCAAGAGTATACCGGCTCCATCAGCCTGGGGCTCGCCATCAGGAAACTTGAGTAACACGCTCGCCGACTCGTGGGGATGATCTGACCACCTCCACGGAAGATGGCTTCTGGTGCAAGCTCGACATCCGTGATGCGGAACTTTGTGTTGCGAATGGGCTCCTCACAGAGCGGGCCTTCACGGGTCGCCCAGCTGAAACCCTGTCGAAGCGTGTCCCGGACTGTACGCAGAGTCTTTCCGTCGACCTCTGTGGGAAGTGTGTCGTTTTGTAGGATGTTGGCACCCATATCGTCAGGCCCGAAAGCCCAGATGTTGCGCGAAGCGAGCAAGTCGTATCCGTAGTTCTCTTCGAAGAACTTTCCGACAACCCTGACGGGGTCCTTGATGTTGACCTTTCCAGCTTCGATGTCCTCCGCAATACCTGGGTCTAGCGGTTCGGCAATCATAGTGAGCTTGTTCTTCTTGTTTGGTGTGAGCGCGTAGCACTTGATAGCGGACATCTCGACAACCGTCTCGCAGAATCTTGTGACAGGATCTGACACCTTGATCTCCATGTCAGCATATAACCGGCGTAGGTCATGCAGGACACAGTCCATGTAGAGCTCGCCAGTACCGAGAACGACGTGTTCTCCCGACTCTTCGACCTTGGTTGTGATGAGCGGGTATGACTTGTTGATCTTGCGCAGACCGTCGAGCATCTTTGGTAGTTCAGAAGGATTTATGGGTTCGACGGCGACCTTGAAAACGGATTCGAAAAAGTGGCGGATGGGTCGGAAAATGTAGGCGTCTTCCTCGTCGGGGAGTTTGGTGGCTACAATAGTCGCCGTCTTGACTATCGAGTTGTCAACACCACCAAGCAACACCCAGTTACCTGCCGGAACGCCGCTGACGGGGATGTTATATCTCGATTGCGCGATCCATGTGTCCGTCACTGTAGCGACGACCATGTCTTCCTCATCTTCGATTGTGTAGCCTTCTCCAAGAACACGCACCGACTGCGGGGAAGTTGCGGTACCACTCATTACGCGGCCTAGTGCGGTGAATGACTTCGCATCTGTCGCGTTGAAGAGCTTCGTAACATGTATGACTAGGGGTCCGTTCTGGTCGCACTTCTGCATGGCCTCGGCGGTCTTTGTGTCCAAAGGACCAGTGTAATGTCTTTGTAGTAGTCGCTGCGCTCCTTCTTCAGGCGACGGGACATGCTGGGTGATCATGTCTACGAATCCCAGAGATGGACCAAAGTACTGCTGGCATACCAGGCGCATCAACTCCTTCGCGTCTGTCTTGTATTCAGATGGCTTCAATCGGATGCCCAATGTGTCGAGCGTCTCCTTGAGGTCGTCCGGGCTTTGACTTAGTGTGTACGAGTAGATCTTGTAGACGGGCTCCAGGATCCAATGCACAAAGGACCGCTGTGAGCCCTCCTCCTGACGCTTGCGACTGAACTTGCGGCTTCCTGGGTTGTAGAAGATGTCGCCCCAAAGGCGCATGGCGAATTTGTCGATATCGAGACCCTTCATTGGAACGCCGAATCCTGGCAGCTTGGATGGTCCAGGGTAGAAGTCAGAGTACATCTTTGCGAAGGACTGGATGGTAAAGCACCAGCGCATGCTGGAGCAAGCGAAAGCGACGTTGCCTTTCTCAGGGCTTACCCGTCTGCTCTCGCCGCGGCCTGGAATGGTGTTCTCGATGACTGTGTTGACTTCCTCAATAACGTGCTTGATCTTGAAGTATGCATCGCTGGGCGGTAGCTTCAATTCGAGAATCAAGCGGTCCATCTTGTTGACTACCAGTGTGAGGGGCAGATCCTCCAGCACGGCGTGCTTTATGATTTGCTCCGTGTTGACCTGCACGCCCTCGACTACGTCCACGACCAAGACTACTCCATCAACGAGGCGCAGCGAGGCGGCAACTTCATCGGCGAAGTTTACGTGTCCGGGGGTGTCGAGGATGTTGAAGAGATGCGACTTGGACTTTGTGTTCTGGAGGACTAGGCTCATGGGTGCGGTCTTGATGGAGAGGCCCCGTTCGCGTTCGAGCACGTGTACGTCGGTGTATCGTAGTTGTTCTTCCCGCTTCTTCCCCCTCTTGTAGTCCAGACGGTCTTGGATGTCGTGTGTCTCCATGACCAGCATGTCCATGAACGCGGTCTTTCCATGGTGCAGGTGTCCAGCGATGGCGATGTTTCGTATCTGGTTGGGAAAGTTCATCAAGTCGGTCAGGAGTTCTCTTGAGTGATAGACTGGGGGCAGGTCTGTCTCTTGAATGGTAAACTTCTTCTGCACCACCGGCGCGATAATAGGCTGCGCCAGCGACTGCGTGTCTTCTTCATGCACCAACACCTCGACATCTGGGCCGTATACGTCGGACGCGGAAGGGTAGTACTGCTTGTCTTCGTGGAGGATTACGGCGTTGGATGGGCCTTCGTCCACCTCCATCAGCTGCTGGTCGTTGGTATCAGCCTCGTCGTCGTCGTCGTCGAGGACATAGGCGTCGGCTGCCTCGCCGGTGCTCTGGACATCGTCGTCGGACTCGGCCTCGCCGATGAAATTTCCAAACCTGGGACAAGTCAGTCGCGTAGCATTTTGGAGGCGATTGTCGGTGCTTACTCGTCGTAAAGGTCATCCATGGTGGCGGTATGGGTGGGTATCTGCGCGGTGATGATGCGCGTCGAGCTCGAAGCTATCGCAAAAGTTCAGAGGGTGGTTCCGCGGGCTAGCGTTGGGCGGTGAGGGCGGAGGCGGCCATCAGCCAATGGGCCTCCGAGGCGACGCAGGGACGAGTTCTTACCCTGGCCGCCGTTGTCGCGCAAGGCTAAACTTCAAAAAGATGTCCTTGCTGTAGTCGGGGCATTTATTTAAACGCAAGCCTGTATACCCTCTCTGCACCTTCAATCGCCCTCCTGCACCCAAGAGATACCCACCATGTCGTCCCTTCCCCCCGTTTACATTGTCTCGGCTGCCCGTACGCCCACGGGCGCGTTTTTGGGGTATGTTTTCTAGTGCTCGAGAAGAGGGGCAACGCCAACTCACGCGACAACAGCTCCCTCTCGAGCCTGAGTGCAGTCCAGCTGGGCTCTCACGCCATCAAGGGTATGTATACTTGCTGCCAATCGAGCCGTCTGTCCGTCTAACAAGCCCCTGCAGCTGCTGTTGAGCGCGCTGGCATCAAGCCCACCGACGTCGAGGAAGTCTTCGTTGGCAATGTCCTCTCAGCAAAGTACGAAATACACCGACTGCAAAATACACCGACGGCCTCACAAGCACTGTACTGACATAGCCGCAGCCTCGGCCAGAATCCCGCCCGTCAGTGTGCCCTTGGCGCTGGCCTCCCCGAGTCGACAGTAGCAACCACCATCAACAAGGTGTGCGCCTCGTCCATCAAGGCCCTCATTGTCGGCGCGCAGACCATCATAACCGGCAATGCCGACATTGTCGTCGCAGGCGGAACCGAGAGCATGTCCAACACTCCCCACTACCTCCCCAACATGAGGACAGGCGCCAAGTTTGGAGACCAATCGCTGGTCGACGGTGTGCTGAAGGATGGTCTGACCGACGCATACAAGAAGGAGCACATGGGTCTGCAGGGCGAGGAGTGCGCCGATGACCACGGCTTCTCCCGTGAGCAACAGGATGACTACTGCATCCGCTCCTACAAGAAGGCCATTGCCGCGCACGAGGCTGGCCTATTCAAGGAGGAGATCGCCCCCATCGAGGTTCCCGTAGGACGTGGCAAGCCTCCGGTCGTTGTAGACCGTGACGACGAGCCCAAGAACGTAAGTCGCAGTCTTTGTCATGTTCACTAATCCGCACTTTCTTACTCATCACTTGCAGTTCAACGAGGCAAAGACGCGCACATTGAGGCCTTCATTCAAGCCCGGAAACGGAACCGTCACCGCTGCCAACGCCTCACCGCTCAACGATGGCGCTGCTGCTCTCGTCCTGGCCTCTGAGGAGGCTGTCAAGAAGCACGGCCTCAAGCCCATTGCTAAGATCCTCGGCTGGGGTGACGCTGAGCAGAACCCCTCCAAGTTCACCACCGCCCCTGCGCTCGCCATGCCCAAGGCTCTGAAGCACGCAAAGGTGGAGCTCTCCGCTGTCGACGCTTTCGAGATCAACGAGGCCTTCAGTGTCGTTGCCCTCGCCAACATGAAGATCCTTGGTATTGAAGAAGACAAGGTCAACCTGCACGGTGGTGCCGTCGCCATCGGCCACGCGCTTGGTGCTTCCGGTGCCAGGATCACAACTACACTGCTCGGTGTACTAAAGGAGAAGAAGGGCAAGATTGGCTGTGCCGGAATCTGCAACGGTGGCGGTGGTGCTTCTGCCATTGTAGTCGAGTCGCTGCAGTAGTTGTCCCATTACATTAATAACGACGCGTAATACCAGATATGAATGAAGATAGTTACACGTACACCGCGGGCCAGATCTCTGCACCCCTCCTGGAACAAGCATATATATCTCCAGAATTGTGTCGATCGTCTCGAACGACTCATTGGCCGAGTAGTTGGTTTCAGACTGGTGGAACACTGCGCTCGCTTCGGAAGCGCTAGAACCAGCGCGCGGCATTGGCCAGCAACCGCTCTCCTTCATCCCACCCTCCAGCACCACGCGTTTCAACGCCTTGACAGCGAATCACATGTCGGCAGCCGCGACAAATGCCTCAGGCCGTCGATAATACCCGTAGCCTCCGCCACATATCAACCAGGATATGCGCTTCTGTCTGTTTCAAGCGCCTCAGTCCGTTTACCAACGGGCCATCCGTCCTATTTCTCATGAAACAGCCCATGTTTGGTTAAAAATCCGGGCAGCCTTGCCAGCGCTATCGATCCCCCATCATACGGGCCTGACTGGTTCCTGCAGGTCCCCTCAATGTTGCTAACCGGAGATCAACTCGGCCCGTCTATAATTCCCATCATGTTGAAACGAAGCCCGATGTGCCTAACGGGAGATGTACACTCACCCGCACTCGTCTAGTCAGTAGACGAGGCCCTAGGGGCGAATTGATTGTTGCCATGTTCGGGACGTTGGCGCGGCTCTATCTTAGGCCTGCATATATAGGTAGGTCGTCCCTTTTCGACCATCTGCTGCTTGGTTATATCGCCATCTCGTACTATCGCCTTTTCAGTTCTTGTGTCTTTTTTGTCCACGCGTCTAGTACGCAGTCATTCATTACTATCTTCTTCGGTTTTCAGCGTCTTGACGATGCGTTTCTCCACACTCACTTCGGCTACGGCCTTTTTCCAACTAAGCATAGCTGGCTATGTTCTAGAGGATGACTACATGACGGACTTTTACGGGGCCTTTGACTTCTTTACCGGACCCGACCCGACAGAAGGTTTCGTACAGTATGTCAATGAAGCTACGGCAAGACAGACAAACCTCATCAACTCGTCTACTTCGGCCATCTCGTGGGGCGTAGACACACAGAACCAGACACCAGAGGGAAGGCCCAGTATTCGTATTGAGAGCAAGAAGACATACGATAGCGGGCTGATTGTGGTGGATGTCGCCCACATGCCCTTTGGCTGTGGTACATGGCCAGCGTAAGTAGACTTGACTTGATGTAGAGTTACATCACTAACGTACCGCAGCTTCTGGACCACCGGTCCTAACTGGCCAAAGAACGGCGAGATTGACATTATCGAAGGCGTGAACGACCAGACGAACAACGGCATGACCCTCCACACAGGCCCAGGCTGCCAGATTGGCGATGACACCACCCAGTTTGCGGGTTCGGTAACCACAGGAAACTGCGATGTTGCTGCCGAAGACCAGTCAAAGAATGCGGGATGCTCCATCGAAGACCCATCAACCAAGAGCTACGGTGCAGGCTTGAACGCTAATGGTGGAGGTGTATACGCCACCCAATGGACCGCTGAAGCTATTAGCATTTACTTCTTCCCACGCGACTCCATCCCGGAAGACGTTCTCGGTGACAGCCCAGACCCCAGTGGCTGGGGCAAGCCAGCTGCCAAGTTCGCCGGTGCTTGCGATATTGAGAACACGTTCAAGCAGCAGCAGATCGTTTTCGACACTACCTTCTGTGGACAATGGGCGGGCAGCAGCAGTGTTTGGAACGCCAAGAACAGTTCTTGCAGCAAGAAGGCATCGACATGCGAGGAATGGGTACGGGATAACCCAGAGGCTTTTACCGAGGCATACTGGACCATCAACTCGCTGAAGGTGTACCAAGACAACGGTGGCTACGGCGCTACCCCTCAGCCCTCCTCAGTGCCCGAGCAGAGCAGTGCTGCCTATGCCCCTCAATCTTCTTCAGTGTCCGAGCAGAGCAGCGCTGTGTACGCTTCTGTGCCAGTTCCATCGGAGACGCCAATTGTGTCTTCTGGCCTTCCTGTAGAATCCGGATACCCTGCAGTCCCGACTTCGCTCATCACCCCTTCGGTGTCCGGTATCTTCGCGCCAATCCCGACAAGCGAGACACTTTCGGTAGCTCCCTCCGCGTCGCCCAGTGCCCCAGTTGCGTCGCCTCCTGCCGACGATGCTTCTCCTAGCATCCCCGCCGAATCTCCAAGCCCAATCGTCGCGCCGACCACACAGGTCAACGCACCAGCTCCAGCCCCGACAAACAATGGTCCCATGTCCGGCTTCCAGTGGCCCAAAGCTGGAGCTGGTAGCGGCAATGAACCTTCCAACGAGACGTCGCCCTCGACAACACCTGCCGCGTCGCTTCCTGAGGGCACTAACACTCCAATCCAAAACTCTAGTGGCGCAGCAGCCGCTCCCAGTACAGCACAAAGCATCGCTCAACCTTCCAATGTACCTGCTGTATCTCAAGCACCCGCCGTGCCTGCAGTGCCTGCTCCAGCGCCCACCGACGCTGTCAAGGCCCCTCCGGCGGACGCAGCCATCTCAGCAGACCCCGCTGCTCCCACTGTCACAGACACTGTTCAAGCCGTACGCACAGTTTATGAGACAGTATATGCTACCGTCACTGCCGATACTCCTGCCGAGACGCCAGCGCCTGCTGCCGCTGCCAGAAGTGCACGCATGGCAAGACATATCAGGGAGCACATGCAGAGGCTCACGAGGCACCACGCAAGGCACTGAGCGGTGCTTCACGAACGATGGCAATGGCTTGGCTAGTCACACTGGTTGCTGACTTGCTTGTTTGGATGGTTGGATACGGCGCACATATACCCCGGGTTTCTTTGTATATATCTTTTGAACATTAGCAGCAATACATTTGGATGATCTGCATATTCTTTGCCATTGATCATGGTGATAGTTCGTGCTCAGCTCGCTCTCTGAAGCAAACAAACGAGCAGTATTTACTACTTCATCAACGCAATTAGTACAAAAAGAAAGACCCGTTTCTCCCTGAGACAACGACAGTGTTCACAGCTAATGTTTTGTTTTGCTCTTAGGAAGTCAGAGAATACACCCCTCACGTTCGCTGCACGGCCATTTCTCGCAAAAAGCAGCACTTACACCCCACTCAACGTTGTTACACGTAGCGAGAACAAGCAGGAGCAACCACGGGAACAGCGGAAAAGATGGAAGGAACCATACAACTCGTTCGCTGCGCACAAGCGAGCTCGATCTATCCAGGCACACAGAAAAGTGCAAAAAGAATGTGGACGCTGTGGGAATTGAACCCACGACCTTTCACAGATTACGCAGATGTATGCGAAGCGACTGAAGTTGAATGTTAGGATGATGTTCGAGAATGGTGAGCAGTGGTGTTGTCTTACAAATCATACCCCTGAGAGCATTGTTAGTTTTGTTGTTGTAGGAGTTGGATCCAGTGGCAGCTTACCTAGACCAAGCGCCCGATTAGGTAATCGATGGAAAATTTTCTAGTAGTTTGCTATATGATCTGTAGTTATTAATCATCCCAAGCTGTTATGAGACGAGACAGCCGGGCTCTGCTGATGGTGGGGTTGAGGGGCACATCTGAAAGTGGGGTCAATTGAACATGGTAACGGTGCCGCACTCAAAAATATGCAGCTATCTGTACTTCCCTGGCTCATTCATACAGAACTTCTACTACAATCATGTTGCTGAGGACAGTCACCGAAGAGAGTTGGTTAATCAAGAATATCAGACCAGTGCGCCGCCGCACGCTCCGTCAGTCCAAGCAAATCTCCAGTTTGTTGTCTTCCGACATCAAAGCGTTTTGTGCGTCTTTATCCAAATGATTCGACAGCTTCGTTATGCCAATCCGCCTGAACATGGGGTATTGTGTGGGGGGCGACAAGCCAACCCTGCGCTTGTTTGAAGCGTTGGCTTCGGGGTCGAATTCTACATGTTTCTCTAATTTGAGCAACAAGCAGTACAGATAACGGGAGGATTCCCGTACTGTTCGCTCCCCATACGCAACAGGCATGCAGTATAGTTCCGCGTCGTCGAAGAAAATATCGACATCGGATTCGGGAGCGTCGAGATAGAGATTGGCGTTTTCGAGTGGGCGCGCAGCTTTGGAAGTGGTCTGCACCACTTCAGACGTGGACGCATCTGGCTTGAGGCGCCAGCTGTAGGGAACCCTGAGGGGTGGGTGGAGCCTACGCAGCTCAATCCTCCTGAGATAGCGAGGCTTGAGCAATAGTCGTCCTTGCACTACCATGCCAAACTTGTTGTCTTCGTCCGACAGCTTGATGCGATGCTTTAGCACTTCGAGCATGAGTTCTTTGGGCTGATTATGAGCCCTGGTTCGCCTTTCACTTGTTTCTTCAGGCTTGTAGTCGGTGACATCTGGATAGGTAACACCGTGAGGAGTATCAATGGATGCCCAGGAGAACGAAGGCGCTCGAGTTGCATCGCGTCGTGCTGGGTTCTCGAACACGCCGTCACGAAAAAGCTCATTCACTTGCCAAAGAAGCTGGCTCTCTAGGTTCTGGCTCCACAATCCCGCAATGTACTTATTTGGTAGCGTGAACAGTTTGGAATTCCCTTCGCAGAAACGTCGCGCGATTCCTGAAAGTGCTATGAGTTTGTCGCTCGGCACTGTGAGTTGTGTTCTGGAATAGACCTCAACAATATGCTTCCATAGTTCGTATATGTAAAGGTCTGTCATGTCTTTGTCGGGATCCGGAAAGCCATTTAGGCGGTTGTTTCGTAGTGTGCGACCAGCTTCTGGAGTTAGGTCCTTGAGGCGCCCTTCATCTACAATAGACCCTAGCTTGGCCCTCAGAGTTAGATTCATCTCAGGATGGCCTTCGGCATCTTCAAACTCTGCACACTCCCAGGCGATCTGGTCGCGACAGAAATGCAGTACACGCGGCGCCATGAGACGTTCCTGAAGAACCCAGCCTCTGCGGTTGACGGCTGCATTTTCAACTAGTTCATCCCAAAATGACACGTCTATAACAGTGCACCTCGTCAGCTGATCTCTTTCTGTACTTCCGATCTTCTCCGATCCAAACAGATTTGTTCCAGAGTAGTTGACGTTGATCTCGTCTTCCCAAAGATACTCTGGTCGCCGACTGAAGAACAAACCCTGATCTCCGTCAACTGCAGCAGTGGCGGAGATATTGAGGAAGGACCCCCGATATATCTGGTCCATTGTTCGGCTCTGCTCTAGCCAATCTTTGACAGACTCTTTCGAGCGGTTGCTGTAGCTCTCAGTCGGTTGTATGATGCACATCGAATCGATCCAGATGAACCCAACTTTGTCTAGGCGACAGGCGAACAGAATAGCGTCTCGAAAAGTTTTCGGTAGCTCTCGTAGCTCGATACCTTCTCGTTTGAAACGTTCTTTAGTGGTTTCGTCCAATCTGAGCTGTCCTTGGACACTCTTTGGCTTCCCCCAGCAATGGCTCAGTGTAACATAACGATGATTTTTCTGTTCTTTACGCACTGACTTATTCTTCTTCTTGCTGTCCCAGACTTTCATCGACAATTCGGTAGCGCCGATTGAACGTTGGACAAACACCTCGTCTGTCTCAATCAGGTACACCTTCTTTCGTTCTACGTCGCCATGTTCTGACAGGATCGTCAAGCTGTCTATGTCTGTGATCCCGTTGGCGCCGCGAAGCTGTTCAAGGTCCAGCAGACGCTTAGGGTAAAACCTCTCGCCAGGCTCTTTCCAGAAGTCTCCACATTTGCAGTCTTTCATCCAGCTTTGAGCTACCTCAAACACTTCCTCGGAAGATGTGTCCAACGATCTTGGCGTTCGCAACCGACGGTTCTTTGGGTCTGCGTGGATTCTTAGAGCGCACCTTGTAATTTCTACCATGATTCAACTTACTGGTCTCTTTCAGCAAATATATGCGATTATACAATCTGTTTAGGTCGAAGTCAAGGCAGTACTTTTTCTCATCCGGCTTGTCGTCAGGTAGTCTCCTCAAGCTGGCTTTAATTGAGATGGGCTGATCCTCCAGCAGGTCCATATCGTGCCGAAGGACGTTTGCTAACGATATGCATATCGAGCAATCTGCCTCTCTAGATCTTCGAAGCGATGTTGTAGTTTTGTGATGATCAAATGTTAGGTCGTGAGTTCCTGCCCACAATTCTCCTCTTCCACCCCTTAGCATACCCACGCATATTTTGCAAAGCATTTCGGCAAGACAAGGCTGAGGTGGTTGTTGGCCTTGTTGGTGGGGGCAGGCTGTGCTTAGCGCGAATGAATACTATCACGATCCAGACAAAGTACTGCGCCTGAGTAGACACATGGTTAGACTTTGGAAGAGAATAGAGAGAGTGTCAAGGGATATATTCGAGCGAGAAAAGTCATACAAGAGTGCAGTCACCAAGTGCGATGAGTGTACAGCACGCAGGATGCGAGGCGCCTGTGCCTCGCTGCATCCTAACCGCGATTGTCTCAGCTGAGGTAGGAGCTGCAGCGCTGCAGATGAGAAGCGCCAAATCTGTCCATCGGATAGGCTAATCGCTGCATCCCAGATCGTTAGTTGGTTTTCAGAGCGGGATAAATGTAGGTCGTATTGTCGAAGTTGGGGCGCAACGCTGGCAAACCCTGCACCGGTGTGCTCTTGCCTGAGGCCCGGTGCCACGCGACATCTTGATTTCTATGGGCTTGTTGCTGCGCCCCCACCAGGCTTCAACTAGACACTCATCAGCACATTCAGCCTTTTCGCTGCCTAGACCTCACCCATAAGGCTTTCACATCCTTGAAAGATAGCAGGAGGCCACTGTCCATTATCCATCACTCATCACATAGTTTCTACGTTCTACAATATCTCAAACACACGGCAAGGATGCCACCCACTTTCAATCTGTCAGCCGCCTGGGACTCCATACCTGTCACAGTTGCCGATGGCCACGACCTCAACGAAAAGACGCTGCTGGGATTTCCGGCGTTCAAGAATTGGTTGGATGCGCTCAAAAAGAATCTTGAAGTGCAAACAACTCCTGGACACACGTTTGAGAAGGATCCATGGCGCCTAACAGGCGTGATGATACATAACGTCACCGTGTTTGATGACGGCAAGATAGGCTTCATGACGATCGAAGCATTGATGAAAAAGAACGACAAATCCCTAAACCGAGTCATCTTCTTGCGCGGCGGTAGTGTAGCCGTCCTTATGATACTACGACCCAAGGACGCTAGGAACGAGCGATATGTCATCCTCACAGAGCAGCCGCGAATCGGCGCATGTAGCACTGCTTTCCTTGAGATTCCCGCGGGCATGCTGGACGATAAGTCTGGCGATGTTATTGGGAAAGCGATGCAGGAAATTGAAGAAGAGACGAGTCTAAGGGTCAGGGGAGAGGAGCTGATCGACCTGACGGCGATGGCTCTCGAGCAGGCTGAAACCAAAGAGCATCTGCAAAAAGCGTTGTACATGAGCCCTGCAAATCTTGACGAATATATCCCGTTGCTGTTGTGGGAGAAAGACCTGGACCGGAAGGAGATCGAGGCCTTGAAGGGCAAGTTGACTGGCGAACGCGCCAAGGACGAACTGATCACTTTGCGCGTACGCGATTACGAAGTGCTTTGGAAAGAAGGTGCAAGAGATGCTAAGACGCTTGCTGCTTGGGCCCTGTATGAAGGATTGAACAGGGCTGGAAAGATTGAAAAGCGATTACAAGAAATCCGTATAGGTCGCACGCAGAGATGAGTTGTTAAGAAGAAGATACCACCTCAGTTTCCACCTTTTCTGTTACGAGTTCCGTTGCTAGCCAGTCAAAATGGCTTACAGCCTTCCATTCGAGTGTACACGGGCATTTGCAGACCACGGGTTTCTTCCTTTTAGACGGTTGTAAGCACTCTCAAACTATGAATGATACCTTGCAAGTTTACAGCTTCAGATCGCTCGGTGATGAGCTCCATTGCGTTCGGCATCATGTGCGCATTCATTGTGGACGATATTAACCCAATACTGACATAGACGCTTCTCGGATATTGTTTCCACGTATAAGCACATGATCTTGAATGGGTTGAAAAAAGTTAGATTTGACATCGATGTGCAGAGTTTGAGCGTATCTAGGTAGGTATGATCAAAATGCGTGCGCACGTGCCTGGATGGCGGCTACCAATCGGGAAGGATGACGGCATGAACCAGATACCACAAGACATCTGGTTATTCCACCAAACAAACCTCAGCCATCCATACCGCATGAACGCCCTACAGGGAGTGGGAAAACAAAAGGATCTCTACTCAATATGATCCAGGGATCTTCTCCTTTCTCACTACGCAACGCGCGATGAGAACATCGAGTGTGTGAGTAGGCAACCTAGAAGCCTACATAGCTGTTCTGTTACTCCAATTCCTTTACCATACGTCGTAGTAGGCTAAATTACAGGCGGATTGTTCCTCTACCCTTGTGTAATCTCTTACTTGTTATAGTGTGTGATGCGGTGTCCAGAAGGCTGCTGAGGCCGTAAGCCACCTCTCGATCTTGGTAGCTTGCTGTGAGCGATCGGTAAGTTAAGAAGCAGCTAGAGAGGAACAGCAAACGCGTGGCTGCGACGGATCTGTACCCTCGTCTTGCCAAGCACAGTATACGGTCATACTAGCCGTTTCGCTAGAAGCTGATAGGACTGTCGTTTGAGATAGGCTTCACCAAGCCACGCCAAAACCAGACCTTACTCTACCCGATGCCTCTTGTTTCCTATTGGTGTAAGGAATGCTTTTGTTGCAGTACTCACTCCGGCCTCGACCCAGGGGCCGTTGGCATTGGTGACGACAAGGCTGAAAAAACAGCTTCATAAGATGAGGAAGGGCCTACTAGCTCTGGTAGTAGAAATCACTTGCCAGAATTTTGATTCCACTAAAAAAATCGCTCAAGAGGAGTCGCATTCTGAACAGCCTGTTACGCTTCGTGGGAAACCTATGGTAAGTGCTGACCAGCTTCGAGTGTCTATTCAGTGCAACCCCAGTTAATATCAGCAGGCGCAGCCAATCGAGCGTCAGGAGCTACCCGGGTCGCCAAACTCACCTACGGCATCGCCAGCCCCGATTTCCTCGTATCCTGAAGTCTATAACCAATACGCAGAAGGCATTGAGGTTGCACAGCCGGATACCGCACAAAGATACCTACAGCCTTCCCACGGACATCATCAACAGCTCAAAGGGGCTCCTGGTGGTGCTGCTCAAGAAGAGGAAGATGGTGCAAAGCAGGTCATTTGGAAACGAAAGCTCTGCGGTTTTCCGCTCTGGACAGCTGCGCTGGTGGTTCTGGTGGTCATCGGAGGGCTCGTCGGTGGACTGGTTGGCGGCCTGGTAGGACGCACAGAGAACGGCGATTCTGCGAAATCCACGCCCAGCACTTCGGAGTCCTTAATATGTTCATCTCTGTCGTCTTCTTATGGCACATTGTCGGCTAGTGCAACTTCTACTGTAGCCACAGGCCCCGCATCGACGCCTGGTTCATCGTTGCGCTCGTCATTCAAGATCTCTAGCATCGCCGCAAGCCGAACAGGGAATCCAGGACATATCAGAGTTGCTAACAATCAATCCAAACTGATGAGACTGACTGACTGACTGATTGCTTGGCAGTCAGTTCAGTGTCAGTTTAGAGCTCTCGTCTTATCAGTCAGTTCAGTTTAGAGCTCTTAAACTG